GAATGGAAAAGAGAGAGAAAGAGTTTCCCAGACAAAAGTTAAGACTTCATAATCACTAAACCAGCCTTACAAGAATGTTGAAAAGACTTATTTATGTAGAAAAGAAAAGGCCATAAATAAAAGAAAATTGGTAAAGTAAAAAATTTCCCAGGTAAAAATGAACATACAGTAAAGGTAGCAGACCAATCCTTAACAGAGCTAGTATGAAGTTCAAAAGAAGAAAGTAGTAAAACCAATTATATACATAAAAATTAGTCAAGACATACACAAAATAAAAATATGTAAATTATGACACTGTATATACAGAAAATGCAGAGGGGGAATAATAAAAAGGTAGTGATTTTAGAATGTGTTTGATCTTAAGCAACTATTGCCTAATATAGACTGCTATATATATAGGATGCTGTATATGAACCTCATGGTAACCACAAACCAAAGGCCTGTAATAGATACATGAAAAAATAAAGAGAAAGGAATCCAAGCATGACACTAAAGAAAGGCATCAAATCATGAGGGAAGAGAGCAGGAGAAGAAAGGAACACAGAATAACTACAAAAATAACCAGAAAATAATTAACACCATGGCAACAAGTAGATACCTATCAATAATTACTTTAAAAATAAACAGACTAAAATGCTCTAATCAAAAGATACAGGGTGACACAAAAGTAAACTCGAAATGGATCAAAGATCTGAACGTAAGTCATGAAATCATAAAACTCTTAGAAGACAACATAGGCAAAAATCTCCTGAATATAAACATGAGCAACTTTTTCCTGAACACATCTCCTCGAGCAAGGGAAACAAAAGCAAAAATGAACAAATGAGACTACATCAAGCTAAAAAGCTTCTGTACAGCAAAGGACATCAGCAGCAGAACAAAAAGGCATCCTATAGTATAGGAGAATATATTTGTAAACAACATATCTGAAAAGGGGTTAACATCCGAAATCTATATAGAACTCACACACCTCAACAACCAAAAAGCAAATAACTCAATTAAAAAACGAGTGGAGGATATGAACAGACACTTCTCCAAAGAAGAAATTCAGATGGCCAACAGACACATGAAAAGATGCTCCACATCACTAATCATCAGGGAAATGCAAATTAAAACCACAATTTGCTATCATCTCACACCAGTTAGGATGGTCAACACTGAAAAAACTAAGAAACAACAAATGCTGGCAAGGATGCAGAGAAAGGGGAACCCTCCTACACTGCTGGTGGGAATGTAAACTGGTTCAACCATTGTGGAAAGCAATATGGAGGTTCCTCAAAAAACTAAAAATAGAAATATCATTTGACCCGGGAATTCCACTCCTAGGAATTTATCCAAAGAATACAACTTCTCAGATTCAAAAAGATATAGCAGCCCTATGTTTATTGCAGCACTATTTACAAATGCCAAGATATGGAAGCAACCTAAGTGTCCATCAGATGAATGGATAAAGAAGATGTGGTACATATACACAATGAAATATTATTCAGCCATAAGAAAGAAACAAATCCTACCATTTGCAGCAACATGGATGGAGCTAGAGGTTATTATGCTCAGTGAAATAAGCCAGGCAGAGAAAGACAAGTACCATATGATTTCCCTCATTTGTGGAGTACAACAATGAAGCAAAACTGAAGGAACAAAACA